CATATGCCAGCGCCATCTATCGCAAGACCGCGCAACTATTGCTACACGGAATTTCGGCTCTGTTGACAGTCCCAGTCTTCACAAAGCACCTGTATACACGTATTTTCTATTCGGTGAAAATATTTCTTTTCTACACTTTCAATCTTAGTTTTACAAACTCGATATCGTTCGTTTCAATAATGTGACCTCAGCTGTACGCTTATTTTCAAGATATGGACTCTAAAACTCTTATATCAAGCAAATATATATCTGAGGTGACAGCTGTACGAGCCAAAAGTAAGTGAATTTTTAACGAATTTTAAACTTTTTTCGATTTTCTCATGAAATCCAGTGCAGCTGAGGTCCTGTTTGTGCGTACTTTAATTTAAGTAATAATACTTTTGCAATCCGTACATCCAATACAGAGATTTTTCACCGAATGGAAATGTGGTAAAACAGGAGGCTTTAGCATCGCCTTAATAATCATTTAATATTACATAAATTATATTATAATAATATGAATTAATTATAACGTTCTCTGTATCGATTGAATTGAATATTTTTACATTTTTGCAAGTCAAAACTTGCTATCGACTGACTATAATCGGAGATACTGCTTCGTAATGAAATTTGCTTTACACCGATTCATTCTCATATCATATCCCTTCAAAAAAAACCTGCTACTTTTTGCCACTTTGACTTCGGCGATCGCAGCACGCATCGCGCACGTGACATAGTGTCGAGCGTACGTGAACGAGGGCGATATTTATTTTCATGAGCGCATCTTATTAAAGGCAGATTTTGAATTGGCTGGATTTACTTTTGAATATTTTGTTTTTCACATTTAATAATCAGCTTGTCAACCCTATTATTTACCAAACGAGAAATTATTGAATAATTTTTCGTGAAACCTGATATTGACGATAGAATTTCAGCGGTTGTAAATTTCGTTTTGTCTAAACTAAGAATGCATATTTCTGATATTAAGGATAATGAACTGCGGCAATTGAGAACATATGTATCTGCACTCTATAACAAGCATAAGGAGAACTCCATAGCAAGTATAAGGAGATTATTTTCAGTAAGGTCGTTTAAGTATAGAAGTTGTTACGTTATAATTATAATTTTATTGCCATATTGGATCCACTATTTTGAATTTCAAAATTGTAGTATTATATTCGAAACCAGCGACCCCAAAAACCTCTGAATACCGAATTTCATCCAAATCAAGTTACTTTTCGTATTTTGGTCCGCCATATTGAATCGGCCATTTTTAATTTCGAAATTTTGACATCAGAAATGGAATCAGCGATGCCGAAAATCTTATAGAAGTGTATCGGTGTTAGATATTTTCACATATTTTACGAGATATTAATTTTTGCCAGTTTTTCGGGATTTTGTCCCACTGTTGGTGTGTTCTATCGAGGTGACGTATTTACTTGCTTTTTATTTGATGTTAATTAATGAAATTTATAATTTTATTAGAACGTCATGAAATTTTGTTCAATCGGCCTTCCAACTTTTTGACAAGTAATTTCGATTCCTCCGTTCAATCGTTCACACGACATGCAATTATGATGTATTTTTTTCACAATCAACACTATTCAATCATGGTAATATCTTTATATTAAGTAAATATCTGAAAAAGATCTAATTCAAAGACCGAAATATGTAATAGCGTATTTCAATTATAATTGTTTAGAATACAGTATGTAATATTTTGTTTTTTAATATATAATTTAATTTGTTATTGACTCTTACATGCCCTATTATTATATTTATTTCATATTATTATCAAAAGAGTCCTTTATTATAATTGTTAATACTAATCACGACAGAATTTTATAAATATTGCTCCTTTATTTCAAAAGTGACATAATGACTTAAAAATATGATTTTTTATTTAATATTATAAATGATTTAAATATAAGCATCACTCTATCAATCATCAAAAGTAAATTAATTTAAATTGCTAGTCAATTTAACTCGTGATTAAATTTTTCGGCGCACGTTTCTGTGGGACTACATACGTAGTATATAAATTCACATAAGAATCATAAAAGCATTAAGATCCAGCTAGACCGTGTAAGGCTTCGATTCTATAGTTTGTGTTATCACATGTACAGTCCTATAATATATTATATTATAAATTAATTTAATTTATACAAAATAATTAAAGTTGCAAAAAGGGTACTTTTTTTAAAGATTTCAAAACAAAAATGATAAAAATAACATTTGTTATCATATTAAGAATACATTCTTTCTCCTATATTACTTGATTAATCGATAATTTTCTGTCAAGTTGAAAAATGGTTTTTCTTTTTTCTGGGAAACTTAATTTTTTAAGTTAACTGTGTCACTTTCGAAGAAAAAGTAACACTATAAATACGCCTTTATTACAGGAAATATGTATAATATACAATATATACATCATCACAGTTATTAAAAATAATAAAAGTACGAAAATTTTATTAAGGATAAAATAATAAAATATATAAATTAATAAAATATATAAATATATAAGTATATAAAGCGCAGATATATAAACAGAGCTGTTCAAAATCATGACTTTTAATAAAAAGAGATAATGTATAAAATTATAATATTCTTGCATTTTAATATTAAATATTTTAACTAAAATTTTTCTTATCTATCAGGAAGTAATATATTGTTTATCAAGACATTATTTAAGCCTCAAGGGCGTTTTTAACATCGCATCGCGTGCAACTGGTGCGACAACGTGCCAGCGGACTCTGGGATCCATGAGCTTTCACAAGAAGACTTAAAAATTATCTAAGAAGTACCATGACACGAGAAAGAATATTCGATTTAGCTTTACTACCAATCGAGAAAGATGTCTTAATTGATTTAAATTTTACCGAAATTGTCAAGAAATTTATGTCGGTTAAAGTTCAAAGAGGTGTTCGTTTGTAAATGCATGCGAATAAAATGTTGTTAAAAAGCTTTGACTTTCACTCATACAACATAGAAACTTGCAGGAACATTGCTGTAATGTTTGCAATAATACAATAATATTGCTAGAACGTTGCAATGTTGCAAAAAAGACCTATGCTGTATAGTCTTTGTCTTTCAATTGTCTTGAATTAATAATAGTATTGCCCGGGCTCTCTCAATTTTGTCCTTGTACACAGTCTGTCTCGTTTTTTAGTTTCACATGACTATATCCCTTGATATCAGGAAATAAAAAATAAACAAAAACAAAGAAAACAGAGAAAAGTTTGATAATGTTGTTAATTTTTTAAATGCAGATAATATCTGTATTTTAACGATTGATTGGATTATAATGAACGAAAGATAATGGAAATCACTCGGTGAATTTGCTGCGTATATTGTAAGAACTTGCAAATGTGTAAGGAGATAGTGTTTCCAAAACCATTCTTATATTCGCTTACCTGCGTGTACTGGATGCCGGAGAAATCGGCGATGAAATGTACAAAAAGCACAGTGGTGGCTTTTTATATCGCAACCGACTTCATTCCCCTTCCTGGAGCTGAAAAAATCGCGCGAGGGTGAAATCGCGTGCGGGATGGCGTTGAATTTTAATTCACCGCCGCAAGTGCCGATAAACAATTTTCTTCCATCTTTCTATGAACCATTTCCGCCACCAACCACTTCAATATTCCGCAATGTTACGCGATGATTGGCAGGGCACTGGCTAAATGTATTATCGATGTCATGTCTTGACTTTTTTATATTCCCTCTTCTTTGAAAAATTTATAAGAAAACTCAGACATTAAAATCCTCTGGGATAGTAATGTGGGTAGCGACCGTTGATAAATAATGACATGAACAAGCGTACTCATCTATCGGCTGCGAGTTATTTTCATATAACTGCTTCTCTCGATTGTCCAATTAAAAAAATAAATATACTGACAAGAACAATGTAAATGTATAAGATACAGTATTACGTAAGATAAAATATTTTAATATAGGAGTTTTAATTATCGTTTTAATGAACAATTCTAAACATTTAATTTAATAAAATTGTATTAAATTAAAATTTATTTAAAAATTCGCTTCAATCACATTATTTTCTAATCTATATATATAGGGTGTCCCATTTTAATCTATCGGTCGAAATAACTTCGAGGGGGATGGTTTTATCAAAAAATGTTTAAAACAAAAATTACTAGGGTTGAAGGGAGCCGTCCATCGGTGACCTTGACCTTGACCTTGACATCAAATTTTAAGGTTATTTCAGGATCTAATCGCGATTTTTAAATGGAAACCCCAATTTTTTATTCGGGATATTGAAAGAGCGGGAAATTTCACATTCCAACACGTGGTCATGTTTGATCCAAAATTTCCTCTAACAACATTACAAGGTCAAACGAATGGAGCGGTGATTAAGATTATTGTATGCAGATGCGCAAAACATAATAGTTGCAAGGATCAAAGGGGGGCGTCGAATGGTGACCTTGACCTTGATCTTGAGGTTAAATTTGAAGGTTATGTCAAGGTCGAAGTATTTTTTCTTGTCATCAAATGGAATGACGTACGACCTATTCGAATATGTCGTTAAAAAATGGTAGTCACTTTTGCATGAATTTTACGTTAAATACTGTAGGGTTTGTTTTGAGGTCAATGGGCAATCAATTGAGCCCATAAAATAGATCACGCAGACTTGACACGTCTTGATCAATATCTTGCCTTGAACGGCCGGATGAAATCACGTACACCCACACACACACTCACACACGCACACCCTCACACATACACACGCGCGCGTGCACGCGCGCGCACACACACACACACACACACACACACACACACAAGGATGCAAACGGCCCTTTTCAGGGCCACATAATGTAGAAACTCCTATCGGCTACCTCCACGTAGTGTACATCGGGTAAAGCTGAAGCCGAGGGTCGTCCTGATTTTAGTTGATGTCATTAACATCTAAAAGATCTATTTGGGTTATTGGAATTTTTTAACGTATGTACGTTGCAACGAGAGAGACGTTGCAGTCCGTCCTCGTTACCGCGCTGCCTCTTGCCGCGCTAGTACGCTGCGCTGCCGCTATCCTGCGCAGCGTACACACATACATTAAGCGCAAAACCTAACGTAAACCCTACAGTATTTAACGTAAAATTCATGCAAAAGTGATTACCGTTTTTTAACGTCATATTCGAGTAGGTCATACGTCATTCCATTCGATGACAAGAAAAAATACTTCGACCTTGACATAACCTTCAAATTTAACCTCAAGATCAAGGTCAAGGTCATCATTCGACGCCCCCCTTTAATCCTTGCAACTATTATGTTTTGCGCATCTGCATACAATAGTCTTAATCACCGATCCATTCGTTTGACCTTGTAATGTTGTTAGAGGACATTTTGGACCAAACATGACCACGTGTTGGAATGTGAAATTTCCCGCTCTTTCGATATCCCGAATAAAAAATTGGGGTTTCCATTTAAAAATCGCGATTTGATCCTGAAATAACCAAAATAGTCAAGTAGAATAGTGCTTAAATAATGCTTAAATAATGCGGTGGGAATTTTATATGCGTAAATCCAATCCTGCAAACTACGTGCCAAATTTAATTTCCAGTCTTGAGACGCAATCCTAACGGAACTACAATAGTAATATTAGTAATATATCACAATTTGTTAGATTGACAAATTGCAATTTAATAATATTGATGCTTATGCATAGGCTTAGAAAAATATTAATAATCTGATGCTAAGAAGAATCTAAAAACCTGTAAAACAATTTTATTACGAAAAATATTAATAAAAATTAAAGAATATGTGTCTTTATTTATTTGCAATTTTTATAAGCTATATTTACAAAAAGTCTTTGTGTAACCGTTTCCCTAATAAAATTTATTATTAAATGTTTAAAATTGTATGGATCATTGTTAAATGCATTTTATATTTATTTAACAAATAAATAAACGTAACATGAATTTAATATAGGGTAACTCCGGTATATACGCCGCACCTATTAAAAACTCAATTTATTAAATATTACTTACTATGTTTATAGTAAACGAACTATATCGATAAAAACTTTGTACTGTCTACTACTATGAAAAAAATATTAGAAATCCGAAATATTTATTTTTCATATTAAAAAATAAACTTTTTGAAACCCTTGCATTTTTGCCATATATCCCATGGGGGTGGGATATATGGCTACTCATAGGGGGAGGGGGGGATATGTATGGTTTATGAAAAATTTACAAATAATGCATATAAATAAGACATATAATGACATAATGATTTATAAAATTTGTTTATAAAGTTTTATTAAGGAATAAGAATGGTAAATATGTATATGAAGTAACAAATAATAATTATGATCTCCCTACATATATTACAAGTGTTATGAGGTACATATTTCATATAACGCGTTTATTGCATTTAAGGCACTGAATTCGATCTGCGCACTTTGTATGCTTTGAGCATAAATCCCACTCGCTAAAAATACCGTATATCCTGAACAGGTGGTATATACAAGACAACAAACTAAACAAAGAATACGAAAGCAAAGTATCTTGTATTTTGCTACACAACATGCTTTACTATTCGATTACACGTATGTATCACGAAATAACCACTAAGTCTTTTACACGCGCTACATTAATCATTTTATGTAGATTATAATTTATGAAGGCGTTACTTATTATAGTGACAAATCGATTCAACTTACAATAAATTCATTAATATTAACAGTAAGAAGCTGAAATCATAACACAATTCACTTTTATTATTCAGGTTATTTCCCCAGAGAGACAATACCTCTCTGGAGTGATACAAATATAAGCGGCTATGCCGCGCGCCGATAAAAAAAAATATATTTATTGCGGGGG